ATTCCCAGGAAGGTGGCCCAGGCGTGGGCAGGACCTGGCTTCCAGCGCTGCTGGGACCAGCCATCGCCTCTCCCGGGAAAGCACACGGACAAGGGGACAACAGGGAGCGTTCATGTTCCCTCCGCCCCATCCCGCCGTTACCTTGGAGATATAAGTCAGCTGCAGGGATCCGACAGCCCCCGCACCAATAGCCAGGTTCTGCAAAACATTTAATGAGCAACGGGAGTTAAACGACAGGGAGAACGCAAGAGAGGGGAGCCAGGCTGTCATTTAGTGTCACTGCACCCCAGCACCGTGCCCTCCTCGTCCCGCTCCCCATCCCGTGCAGCAGCACCTCTGGAGCGAGATGGGCTCCGACTCCCACCTCACACAGCCCAGGGAGCAGGAGCTGGTGCTAAAAACCAGCCCGGAGCCTGCGGACGGGCGCTTCCCCTTCCCCTTTTAACAGGCAATGAAGAACCTGCTGTGAGATGCTCTTCAGGAAGCACTCATCCAACAAGCAGTGCTCAAGCACTGTGGGGTTTCCAGGAGGGTCTTCCTAGAGCCCAGCTTTGGCTCTTACTCTTTTGAGCTTGACCACAAGCACTGGGGTAGCTCCCGTAGACGCTGGGTACGACATGCACAGGCTCCAGCTCCCCCAACTACCCGACTCTGTGTCTAAGCACTGTTGCTGTGTGACACCACTTCCAGGATGGTAAGTCTTTCTAGGATAACCTCTTCTCTTTCTTGTTATCACTGTCTCTATGCTAAGACATGAGGGAGATGTAAAACCTCACGTTGGTCCAGCCCTTCTGTAGGCTCCCCCAGGATGTCAATGGTTCCTGGTGGTGTGAGCAGCTGCTGGGGCTGTTCTGGGAACAACAGAGGTCACGGGTGGGAGTTGTTGTGCTGGAGGCTGGTCATGGCCACACTCAGCCATGGGAGACCCCAACAGAGAGCTGATGCAGCAGACAGCATCCTCCTTCAGGGACCCAGAAGAGATGTGTCCAGCACAGCCCATCAGGGAGCCCAAGATGCAGCTAAAGACTCACAAAGAACTGCCACGGACGTGCCCAGCGTGAAGCTGGGACCAGTGTGGGAGCCTACCTGAGGGTTGTCCATGTACCACAGGAGGCAGTTGGCCTGGGTGTCCAGGATGAAATACCTCCGCAGAAACTTGCCACAGGTTTCATTTTCTTCAATGTCCAGGAACCCGCAGATTCGGTTCTGTCGATCCAGGTACGGCATGCCGGGATCCTTCTCGCATCACCCTGCGGAGAGGGGACAGTCAGGGAGAGGTGGGTGCTCTGCTCCTGCAGCCCCAGCTCCCCCAGGAGCTGCTCCTGCATCTACAGCCATCTCAACCCATGGGTACCAGACGGGCTGGGATGCTAAAGCAGTCGCTCAGCCCCCATATGAGCTCACGAGAGGGAGAGGGAAGGGACAACCTGCCCAGGCTGACCCAAACATGCACATCAGCTGCCTCCTCTCACTAAAGATGAGGCGTTGGCACAAACGTGTCCCTCCCTGTGGAGATGCGCGTCGCTCCCCAGCCCCGAGTGCTGCCAACCCCGCTGCGGCCGGGAGCTCGAAAGGTGTGAAAGCCCACGGGAGGCTCAAAGGAGGAGCTGGGGCTTCGCTCCTTGTCCAGCTCCTCCCCTCTGACATCACACCCCGCAGCTGGCGGTCGAGTCTTCTGCAGGTCCCATTTCCCAACCTGCCCACACCTCCCGCTGCCTTCACAGCCCTCAGCTTAACGCATGAAAAGTGAAGTCAAACTGCTCCTGTCGTGCGCTCGCACCCTGGGGAACCTGCCAAACGTACCCATCACCCAGCACGCTGTTGTGACAAGAGGGGTGCCAGCGTGACGGCCACGGGTGCAGACCAGTGAGCAGGACCAACATAGCTCAGTGAGGAACTCCAAAGGACTCGGTCACTACACACCATCAAACAAACACTCACCAGCTCGGCTCCGAGACTGCTCGTGGCACGAGGTAGCACCACGGCCATGGGGATGTCCTGGGGCAGTGACAGCCTGATGCCAAGTGACAGTCCTGGGCCCCAAACTGCCCTGACACAGCAGCAGTCATGTCCCACCAAGCTGCTCTCTGGAGAGCTCAGCAGCGTGAGGCAGCTCCATGTCCCAGCTTGGCTCACCGAGAGGGGACAAAGTAAAAAAGGAAAAAGTTAGCCACAAAGGATTTGACACGACACACCAGGTCCCTGGGAACCTCAATAAAAAATAATCCCAAAGCAGACTGCACACTACAGAGACCCGAGCACACTCCCAGGAAATGGAAAACAATCTGCAACTCCAGCAGAAACTGTGTGCAGCCAGGATGCCGAGTCAGCAGGGAAAATAATGACCCATCGCCGCGGGGCCAAGTCGTGTCACCAGGTCTGCCACGGGCACGGACCCTCCCCAGTGCTGTCCCCAAGCTGGGGCCAGCCAGGAGGTCTCCTCGGAGCTCACCATGGGCACAGAGGAGCAGAGCTCGGCTGCAGCAGCTTCAGCACAAACCCCCTCTGGGAAAAAAGGCAGAAAAACGCTGCACGAGCTGCCACGCCACCGGCACGACAGCCCTGAGCAGGGAGAGCAGAGGACACAGCTGCCAGTACCCATAAACGGGCTTTGCTTGTGTCCCCTGTGGGTGTAAGACACTGGGGACCCTGAGCATCGTCCTCGGTCACCACGCAGGAGCAGCGGCCGCTTTGAGTCAGCGGGTGCACGTTGCTGCCGCTCTGCTTGGGCAGCGGCTCCCACCCGCCTCGCGCAGCAAAGCCACGGCGAGGAGACCCCCAGCACCCCTGCCATGGGGCTGTCCCAGCAGACTGGGTCTCTGCACCATCACCTCCATCCCTGCATGGGGAACAACAGCGGCACCAGGAGTGCAGGGCACATCCCCCCACCCAGGCAGAGCCCCCTCACCACGGCCGGGGTGAGCGGGTGGGGACAGAGGCAGCGGTTACCAAGAGGATGCGAGCTGAACCCGGTGTGGTTTGTCCGGTAGAAGAGGGGTGACTCGTGCAGGTGCCAGCAGCGCAGGCTGCACAAATAAAAGATCTCATGCAGAAAAGGAGGAAATAGTATTTTTGAGCTGAATAGCTGCAGTGGATGGGGCCCTGAGAGGCAAGTGTTGTGCAAGAGCTGTGGTGCAGCTGCAAAGGTAGAGGTGGCAGAAAACAAGTCAACCTGTTGTCAGAGTTTATCACCAGAGATGGGTATCAGGGCTTTGCTGAGAGGGAAATTGTCCCGCTTTGGTAGAAAAGGCTGTTGTAAAACAAACACACTTGCCCTGATCCAAGGGTTCTGTGGGCACTTCACATTTCACCGCTTTTTTTGTGGGGTTGTTTTTGTGGGCGGGGGGAAGCACACACAGAAACCAGATTCCCAAGTGCCTTCAACTTCAAGACCTGAACTTGTGTTGGCTGTAGCAAGGACAGAAGATGAAATCTGAGGGAGAGGATCAGAGAGGCTGAAGGCAAGAAGGACTTCAGAGAAAACCAGCACCATTTCAAAGTCCCTGAAGGTCTTGCAGCGAGCAGGCACTTCAGCATCAGAGGACATTCTTTGTGGAAGCACTACAGACATCACGCTGGCGCTGGGCACAAGAAGCTACGATTTATGGGCAATGCCCTTGCCCCACTCATGGAGGCCAATCTGCCATCCAGCGATGACTGAACTTCCCGAGCATTGCACCGAATCATTACCAGAGCCCCTGTATGAATATGTGCCAACTCACAGTGAAGCACATCAGAGGGTCCCAGGACTCTTCCCCACCTCTGAAGCAACTGATGTCCCAGCTTTTTCAAAGTCATAATATCCCACCAAAGAGGAAAACCCTTTTCTGGCTCAGTTAATGAGATGACAACACCAATTAGGCTATAGAAG